TTCCATAATTTTGGTGTCGAACTTGCTGTATCAATTCATCAGCGTTTTGGTTCCTATTCACCATAATCACTCCTTGATCGACTTCTCTAGGGATCTGTGGGGGATCTAGAGGTATTTCGACCCTAGGTTGTTCTATTTCTACACTAGGGATCTGTGGATTTTGGTTAATGGTTAAGTCTTCCTCCAAGATTATCCCTTGGTTCACTCTTATTGGTATTCTTTGGGGTTGTCGAATAGTTTGGGGGACCCCAAAAAATTCAGCCATGCGCGTCATTTGTGCTGCCATTTGTTGATTCGACTGGGTAGTATTTTGTATTAGGGGGTTCAGCACTGTACTTAGAGTTTGTGCCAGCATTTGCACCATATCATGGTTACTTTCATCCATCTGTTGCTTCAAAATTGTTGTAGAAGCATTTGTGAGGCTTGGTATTGCATGCGATGGCCCTCCTAAATTTTGGTTTCTACCCAAATTTACCATACTGGCTCCAGATCCCTGTAATGGTGAAGACGTACTCACCAAAGGTTCTGAAAATGTAGACGCAACATTCATAAGGCTAGCCATTTCAGTGGTTGGCATGTCATACGGTTGTTCTCGACCCATCCAGGCTGTCGAAAATCCTGGGGGAGCGTACGGTCGAGATCCTAGATTTGCCCTTGGTGGGGGTGTTCCTAATGGACCTCTAGGACCTACATACGAAATTATGGGTCCTGTTTGATTCGTGGTTAACGTTGGTAATGAACCAACAGATGTTGAGATATTTTCTCCAACGGTAGTTATAACCATTGTTCCTGTAGTATTTGGTGGAGGTATTTCTCCATTATTTGACTGATTAGCCATTCTACTTTTGCTATTTCTCTTCCTAGCAGTACACTCGTTGGTAGTTATTCTACCACTTCTTAATAAAATACAACATTGTATACGTGTAAAAGAAAAGCAATAACATAAATGAACAAACATATGACAAAAATTAGCCAGGTCCCACCAGGTGTGCCAATTTGTTTAACGTGGTTTTTGGTTAAAAAACCGGTGATCCTCCAAAAAGGAAATCCCTTTTGGTTACTCGCAGGATCGATCAGATTGATCCCAGAACATATGCTAATTTTTGTGCTGGTTTGATGTAAAAGTTAATATCTAGGAAGAACACACGTTCGACCGGGGAGTTGGTGTTTGTGGTTTTGGAAAGCAAATAGAAATGCATATAAAATGCAGGAAACATAAACTTTGCAAAAGAAGATTAAAGCAATGTAAAAGATTTGATTAATAAAAGGTGGTGTTTCTAACGTACATTCTCAGTTATTCTTTCACACACAGTGGGTACTTGAATAATGTTGAGTAACTAGTACAATAGATTAAACACACCGAAAATCTACACAAACTTCCTATCTTTATACTAAAATTATGCAACTGTCAAGGGGTTGCTTTGCTCTAGGATGAAGACAAGTGTCCTCTGCATGCCCCTCGACCTTTATCTTCCTGCCACGTCACTTTCTAGGCGAACTGCATTTCCCTCCCTTCTTCAAATTCAAATATCCTTCATCTTTGATGCTGACACGAGGGTTGTTCTTCTAGTCGAAGGTCACAGGACCTTTTCAGTCGAAGGCTTGATGGCGATGTTTGGTAGAAGACCAATATGTAACTCAAATATTTCTCTAAGTTTTTCCACCCGTCGAAGCATTTTCCAGCTTGGCTTCATTTGCTCTATTTTTGGCTCATAAGGCCAATTTATCGTGGATGTCGAATTTAAGAGCCAACACTATACTGCAATACTGCAGCAGAACCAGTTGTCTAACCAGAGCATCAAGATGCGTCAAGACGCGTCAAGAGGAAATGATGCATCTCGTCCAACAGATGCAAAGAGATCAACATGATTACGCTCACTGGCAAGACCAAAGTATGCTATAATTCACCGCAGGGATGACAGAATACATGCGGGATTTGACACTCCATGTTGAAGGTTTACATGAAGTTGTTTCCCGTGTGGAGGGTCAAAGATATGAAGCAAAATCTTCCAGAAGGGGTGAGCAAGCACGTAGAAGATCTAGACCAAGGATGCATGGTAGATTCCGTGGCCAAGGCGAGGAAGAATGAGTATTTAGTTTTTCACTCTCCTTTTCCAATATATTGAGGACATTGTATGATTTAAGTATGGGGGAGGAAGTATTTTCACTTTTTCTAGTAAATTTTTATTTTTATTATCATCTCCCTTCTTGTTATTTCCCTTCAATAAAAATCTTTGTTTCTAGTCATTTATGCAATATTTGTGTTGTTTTTCCAATTCCCTCACTTTATTGAGCCCCAACAAATATTTTTCGATTTAATACATAACTTGACTCACTCGACGAGTATGTAGGTTGCTAATTTTTTGTTAGAAATTTCTGCAAGATTTGACGAAATCACTACCGTCTTAACACTCTACAACCCCAGAGTATAATAGACTAGTTAAAGTACCTATTATTTTGAAACCCAGAGTTTTAGTTTTGAAGTAATCCTGAGTAGTTTATCTAGCAGTCAGCACCATCTTAAACACAAACTACGCAGAAAGTCGATGAATATAAATGGATGATCTCGGTTATTTATTTAGAAAGTGTTACAGAAAATGCACCTATTAAATTGGGCGATCCTCATCCGATCATTTAATCCAACGGATGTAAGTCCTACAAAGTAACATAAAATCCATTATAGGTGGTTCAAAGACGTCTGGTACTGAACTTGGTAGGACAGACTACTGTTTGATCCCCCGCATCATGCGAATGGGTAAAAAAGAAGGTTGCCACATTATTGTGCCATAAACCATTGTGCTAAAAAGATCATAACCACTAACCGGCTATTCTGCTATGTACTTGTTAGGATAAAGGGCTTAATGTGATTGCGCTCGAATGAAAATGGGTAAAACAAGACGATTACTTGGGGTGAGCTATAATAGCATCTGCAACCGGTTTACATAAGACGGGGTTGTCTAGTGTCATTACCGTAGTGCTGGAGTATAGATTAAGCTTTTGATTCTCTAAGAAAAACACCATGCAACCGCGTACAAGTTGATTTGCGTCATACATTTGCACCTGGCCAATGTTTAGACAAACATTGTACTGAGCACTTGCTTGAGGACAAACAAAGATTTAAGTATGGGGAATTTGATAACACATAAATGTATTGCATATTTAGCTTGATTTAACTAAATTATTTTCCATTTTTATTCTAAATTAAATCACTCTGTAGTTGGTATTATGCCGGTATTTTTCTATTTTGCAAGTATCAAATTAATTATGAGAGAAAGAAGAAAAAGGAAGAAAAAGAAGAAAAAGAAGAAAAAGAAGAAAAAAAGGCTACAATAAAGTCAAGAGCCAAAGATAAGACCAAGCCCAAAAAGAAGAAGCGTGTGGCCAGCTAGCATGACGACCGACAGGCAAGCATGACGACCGACATGCATTTGACCAAGTAAGTGACGAACGTCACTAAGCCCTTTGACGAACGACATCTCCTATTATTTTTCCCACGTCCCTTAAAGCTTGCAACAAAAGTGTGTTAGTTGTTATATCCACGTTCCACCAAGTCAGCTATGCAGAGATTCAACAGCCCTACAAACTCTCCAACAAATTCTCACGTGCAGTTATTCAAGATGGATATAAATAGTAGACTTCATGCACTAAGAAGGGTTCACGCCGTTAATGCCCTTTTTTTTATTCTTCGTGCATATTTCACAGAGCTATTACTTTCCAGATTTATTTTCCTTAGCTATTATTTTCCTTAGCAGTTTCATTTTTCCCAACCAGTTTTAAGCAATAGATTTCTACACCGGAAATCTATTGCCCCGTGGTTTATTTTAAGACCTTCAGAATTGTTATTTAAGTGTATTATTTTATTTCTTCGCAATTGTTTCTGTTCTGTATCGAAGCAAAACCTACCAACCTGTGGAGGAGTGCTTCCTTTAGAGCTGAACGAATTGTTACCAGTTTCCAGTTAATTTATTTCTAGGTTTTTATTTTAATAAATTATTATTTGCCTTTAATTCAATAATCATGTTTACTTTATTGTCTGGCTTTTATTATTCTGTGATTAAGTTTTATAATATGCTAAGCTAGATTTCTATACCGGTATGTAAGGTTATAAAACTGAGGGAATTTGGTAATACTATTGGTTATTTATTTGTTGAACTATTTTCTGGACTAGATTACTTTGTTTTTAATGATGAACCGTTTTGTTACGAGAGTAAAAGACGAATAGAAGTTAGGCTCAATAAAGCGAGAGCTTGAGGATCTTTAACTGGACAGTAGTAACTAGGCATTGGCTTTAAAAACAGCGAGAGCGCTTTAAAGCGAATTAGAGTTTATTTGTTTTCAAAAGAATGTTTCTAACTCCGACGGGATAGCGAGAGCATACGTTAGGACTTAACTGCATAACCTAAATCAACAACCACGATAGTGTGAGATGAGAGTTTTTAAACTAATAAATTTCTACTGAGAATTGTTGGAAACTGCAAGTTACCAAATAGGTTACTAATTCTCGAAGTCCGATCATTACATACTGGTTGTTTCCCCTCTGATTATTTAATTAGATTCAAACTTACTTTTAGTTCCTCTAACCTAAATCAGATATTTTTAGCCTTAGATTTACACCATAACACTAGATAACGGTATGTTTGACTTTTGATCATTTGGATTCGATAATCTTTAAAACTACGCGATAAGACTGTGCACTTGCATTCCATATTATTTAGACTACCATATCAATCAATTAGATTTGACATGTCACATGTATATTTTTTAATAAAAAGAGTAATAAAAACAAAAACTATAACCATCTTATTCTCATGGTACAAAACAGAAACAACAATCTCTTATCAACAGGAGTAGAAACTGAATCAAGGAATACTCGAGGAAAGTAAAAGAAATTTGATACCGAGTTGTTCTGAATCTGAAGCGAGATTTCGGATCTGGACAATTTTTCGGTGAGATTTACAGCGACGATATTGCGGGCGAAAATGTTCCGTGGCAGATCTTAGATGCCGGGGTTCGTTGCCGTGGGAGAAGATCGTTGTGTCGCCAGCATTAAGGGCGGCGCGGTGATCGAAGCGTGGCGGATGTGGATCGACAGTATGCGGATCACGACGGTATGGTCGATCGGAGGAGGAGAGCTGTGTGAGGATGCGGGGACTGCCGACAGCGCGGTTTGGTTGCTGTTAACAGCGGAGCAGCTGGCGTTTGATTATGTTTTCCAAACCTTCTTCTTCTTCTCATTTTCTTAATTTTGCTTTCACTTTAAATTTGAACGGTTGTTGCTCTGTTTGCGGTTCTGTTTCTTCTTTTCTTTTTTTCTCCTTCCACCTATTTCAAAGATTGTCATAAAAAAAAACATAATATGATTATTATTGAATGAAAAATGTTATGCAGGTTTCTTTGTGATGAAGGTTTTGTTAGAGTTAATGACACATGTACAAGATGGTGATGATGTGGTTGTTGGTTTATTGTGTTTGAATGGTAAAGATGAATTTCCATGGTTATGTTTGTATTACTATAACATGGGATAAGAGGGAATTTTTGTGTTGAATTTAATTTTTGAATATGATGATATAGAGGGTAATTGATGATAGAGTTTAGTGTAAACAAATAACATCTTGTAGGAATGGTATATTAGTACGGGGTTAATGGTGAAGATTTGGACTTGGTGTTGCAAAAACGTATAGACTTCCTCGGCTTGACTCAAAAGAACAAAAGCTTTATTTTGTGGAAATATGTATTGTATGTACATGTGACTTAATATGTGAGTGGGGTTTTTTTTGGGAGAAAAATTGTTATATTGTGAATGAAAGTTGACCTCTATTTATAACAAAATATTAGATTAAAAAAAAAAAAGTAATAATTAAATAATTAATTAAAATTAAAATTTAATTTCATTTAATTTCATTTTTTTAATCAATTATAACGAAAAAATAAAAAATATCCTAAAACTACAATATTTTTAAAATCTTTTTAAATATTTTTTATTTTATAATTTTTTTCGGTTATCTTTAGAATAAAAATTGAAAAATGTACAAAAAAAATATTTTTAAAAATTTCATTAATTAAAAAAAACAAAAATAATAAATAAATAACAAAAATTAATATTAAATGATTAAAAAATGCAATTTTAACTTTTTGTGATTTTTTCCTAATAAAGAAATAAAAGTTAGGAAAATAGAAAGAAAAAAGTTTAGAATGTCAAATGTGAGATTCAAACCCGTAACCTTATATTTACAAACTTCATTCCTTACCAACTGTACTATGCTACTTATTCAAAATAAATAGTCAATTGAAAGTACATGAAGATGAACAAGTATTTGTCATTTAAAAGTACAAATAATTTGAAATAAATTATTATATTTTTAACTGGACTTGAGAACGAATAAAAATTAGATAATATTATAAAAACGATGTTTTAAAATATTTTTGTCTGTAGAAATAAAGGGCGGACAAATTTGGGGTATGACAATATCAAACTGGCGATTTGGTAATAAAGCGCATCATTTTACCACAAGGCGGCCCCAGGGGCAAATGAACTCCCACTTACGAAGAGTCATTTGTTGTCAAAAAAGTATTCTCTGGCGGTGCTATTTTGGACGGCGAAGATTTCCCGCATCCTGTTAACACGGACATAGTCAAAAAATACTACGCAAAAAGAATGACCAACTAGGTTGACATACCTAGGAAAAAATAAGGGCATCCCGACGAACCAAAAGGTTCAGGAAAAAGTTAGGGATACATACAAAAGATTGTACACTCGGCAAGTCGAAAACTTGAAAGGGCGGCTTGGGTAAAAAAGGGTATCCCGGTGGACTGAAAACCCGAAAGGACGGTCCAGGCAAAAGTTAAGGATAAAAAGCGTACGACTATGTTCCATTAAATCACTACAGTCAGCTTTATCACCAAAATCAAAAGTTCAAACGGTACGAGATCAATTCAATCAACTTCTTTCAACGACAAGGGATGATGTTCGAAGACATAGGGGCAATAGCAGAGTTGGAACCCAATGAGATCACTTCCGCATGGCTATACATTTCTGTTCTCACTTTGTATTCTCTTTCATTTTTCGACGACTTCCTCTTACAAGGATTTCTGTCTCCCTGTACAAAAACGCTTGTTTTTAGGCACATTATCAATACAAATATACTTTAAAGTGTAAACTTTTTGTTTTTCTGTTTTGAGTGCAAAAACGTCCAATGACTAAAATTGAATGAACATATGCATATGAACATGATTAACTGTTAACAAATGTACGCACATGAACACTAATAAGCATTTACTCAAGGATTTAGGATATCCCCACAGAGTTATTTCAATAAAGGTATCCCCATGGAATGAATTCATACTGTGATACGGTGGCAGAACCGGCTGTTATACTGGTTTGTATTTTGTATTCGCAGATGTGCGGTAAGCAAGATTCGTCACCGACTTTTCTTTTATCCGACAAAGGAAAGGGTGAAAAGAACAGAAAAATACCTTTTCGAGAGTTTTCTGAGTAAGGGGGAGATTATGGAAAGGGAAGGTGTTAGCACCCTTTTCATCCGTAGTTTTCCATGGGCTCTTAGAGGTTTGCTCATTTTTAAAATACCTTTGTGCTTTGTGTTTGAAAATATTTTGAAAACGCCTTAGTACGGTGAACTTTGTAATGTTTCTCGGGATAGTGGAGAAAGTATACAAAGTGTTTCAAAAAGTATTTTTTGTGTAAGCGCAAAATGTTTGATCAAACTTCTAACAACTATCTATTTTTATACTCGAAAAGGGTTTATTCTTTTCCACCTATCCTTTAGACAGTGCTATCCTACTATTAGTGAGTAGGTAGCCCCATCATTGGATGTTTGAGGGATAATCGAAGGGACGTTTACAGTCATAAAAGCAATACGTAGAGACACTTTAGCAATTTTGTTTAGGGACTAGATCATTTATCGAAAGACAGTCGTAGGGTCATCGAGGGACTATGATTTTTTGATTTATGGTTCTTTGCTAAAGTGTCCCCGTTTCGAGGGACATGACTGTTTTTCTGAAGGCAACCGAAGTGGGAGATACTCTAGGGGTGAGCATGTGCAAGTGTGTTGAGATTCAGTTATTTTTTGTCTTTTTGTTAGGTTAGCTAACGTTTTAATTTACAGTCTTTCCATGCAAGCCTATTTACTAACAGTAATATAGTAAAATAATAAAGCAATAAATGTACGGAAAATAAAATACAGAAAAATAAAACCTAAATTATTACACGGCTTTGGGAGAGATACATTATAAGTGTAAGAAAATAAAATGCAGAATTTTAAATCTAGACTATTACATCCCATAATCAGTTACATTATTTATATAAAACGCAAAAATAAAAATTACGCACGCGAAATAAATATTACGTCTAAAAAACCTAAGAACTATCAAATAAAATTCTTTTTTGTTGTTTTTGTTATGAAAAGAAATTAACTTAAAATCCTAAGTCTATTCAATTTTAGTTTTTTTTAAGAAAGCATTAAAATAATTAATTAATTAATTGACAAAATTAATATTAATAGTAAAAAGTAAAATCTAATATTTTTTGTGATTTTTGATTTTTGATTAAAAACAAAGTAATGAAAAGGATAAACTAAATGGAAAAAACAATAAAAAGGAAAAGAGTAATCTACAGGATGTAGGCCTAAGGCTACCTTTCGATCCAAGTGAAAACTCTGATCGAAGATGCCTGAGAGACTGCATCTCTGGGGTGTTCAATCTGGATGTGTCATCCTTCGATCAGGGATACTGGATCTGCAAGGAATTCGTTAGAAAAAGAAAAACAAAACAACATCCTGGACTTGAATTGAATCTGGTCCGAGATTAGATAGCCTGGCAGTGTCACCCTGAATTGAATCACCAGAGTCTGAATCAAAGGTCATTGGCAAAAGGTTCCTGCCACCTAGTTCAAAGCTTACTGCTTCGAAGCCCTCAACAATATTCCTGCAAAATGAACAAATGTTAGAGATCCAGGGGGGACCTTACCCCCTAGCTCGAACAACTCCCTAATTCGAAACTCTCCTTAATTTGAATATGGGTTCTCCTTGCCTGAAACACTAAGAATCCTGAGATTCGAAGGAACCAAATTCACGTGCCCTAACAATGGCAGGTTTGTGAGGATTGTAACATGTGTAACACTTCATTACAAACACGCACAAACACATTAGAACGAATAAATGCGCTTAGATTAAGAAATTGAACTTTAGAATTATACATATGGCTGGTATGCTTTGATATGCAACTTTGGATGTGGAAACGTTGGCTTAGGAGTTGGTATGGACTCCTAGATGGCTCAAGAATACGAATCTAGTATTCGTTTGCGCTAAAGGTGCCTGCAAAAAAGGTGCTTCAATTGGGACACTTTTGGGATTTCTTTGAGCAATGTGGAAACGTGATCTGTTTGATGCAGTATGTGTGCCTGTAAGTCCCCCCTGGATTTGTGTTTGACATCTCGTATTTATAGATGGTGGAGGAGACAAGGAATCGTGGCATTAAAGACTAGCCATTAACAGTGCTTTGAAAACAGAACTAGAAAAATTAAAATATTCCCATTTTGAGATATATCATGCCATTTTGGAATCCTGAGTGAACCTGGACAGGTCAATTTGTGCCTTGTTCGAATTTGAAAATATTCAGAGTTTCCCTCTTCAGAGCCCCTTCGATCAGCCCTTGTTCTTGTGATGATTCTAAGTTCTGATTCGAATTTCCCAGAACTTCCCTCATCAGAACATTTGTTTCCTTCGAAGGCTCTGAATTCTAATTCGAATTGTACCAACTTTGTTATCATGGCTCATTCGATTAAGTCTCAAGCTTTTCTCTCTTTGATGGCTTTGAACTTGACCAATCGAAGCATTATCTCATTGACTGGTCAAAGTGTTGTTTTGCTCTCTTCGACGGCTCTGTTTCTTGATTCGAATTGGTCATATTCTCAGCATCAGAGTTTCTTTGTTTGAACCATGGTCTGTAGGAATTCGAAAGGCTCAGAGTTGTGCTTATCATAGCTCCTTCGATTTTGTCTCCAATTTGCATGAATTCGAATGGCCCATCATCAGAGCTTCTGGAAACCTCTCAGTTCTTGATCTTTTCGATCTCATTTTCTCTAACTTGGACAATCGGAATATCACCCTGTTGATATTCCATCGAAGCATCACTTGGTTGACATGCCTGTCGAAAGACACTTTTTATGCCCTAATGAAAGACAACCTTACTTAAGATGTCCATCGAAGCTGCCTTGTTTAAGATGCCC